TTGCAGTAATCATTATCATCATCATCACCATCATCATAATAAATATTTTTGTTTTCATCATATACACATCATGCAAATACCAAATTATGACAACATTTAATGAAATAATCATGTATCCCTTTTCATATCAATAATTCTCTCTTCATGATTTTAGAATAATTAGTTGATATCCCTTGGTTTGCTTATTCTCTGCAGACTTTAGAAAGAGCTGAATAATTTTAATAATTTTGATAAGCTAAACTGACTCAAATGTGTAATAAATATATTTTGCCCTCTGGGATATTGTGTGTCTGTGCATGTGTGCATGCAAATGTACTTAGTGTGAGTGAACTCAGTTATCCATGTATGTGTATGTAGTAGCCAAAGGTCAGCTTCAGGTATCTTTCTTTATCACTCTCCTTATGACTTTTTAAGACAGTGTCTTTCACCGAACCTAGGTCTTGCAGGTTAGGTTAGAATGGCAGGCCAATGAACTTCAAAGTATATGACTGTGCATGGCCCCGATTTCCCAAACCAACACTAGGTTACAGGTATCACACATGATATTTATGTGGATGCTAGGGATCAGAGTTCAAGTTCTACTTATTGTGTGGTAAACACCTTACCCATTGAGCCACCTATCAGTCACTAGCAGCCTATTTTTAATATTGCTGTATTGATGTAAATAGTGGGTTTAAAGGATTTTACCTTTGGCAACTTTTATTTTTTTCTAATGAATCTAGTGTTTGAGTTGAGATTAGCGATCTATGTAAAGGTGTTGGGCGAACACCTTTAATGTATTAGATTCTGCCACGGGACAGCCACTCTCCTAGTTCTCATTTCAGTTTTAGCTGTTCTCACATCACCTCAGAAGTCTTTTTATCCATCTGCCTTCTCTACTATGATAGTTTGATTGTAATTGCCCTTGTAAGCTCACAGAGAGTGACACTATTAGGAGGTGTGGCTCTGTTGGATTATGTATTGCCTTGTTACAGGAATATGTCACTGTGGTGGTGAGCTTTAAGGTCTCATACATGCCCAATCCATGCCCAGTGGTTTAGCCCACTTCTTGTTGTCTTCTGATCAAGACGTAGCCAGCACCATACCTGCCTGCATACCACCATGATACCCCACCGTGATGATAATGGGCTGGACCTCTGAAACTGTGAACTACCTCAATTAAATATTTTCCTCTGTAAGAGCTGCCATGGTCATGATGTTTCTTTATAGCAATAGAAATCCTAACTAAAACACCAACTAAACTGAGTACCTCTTCATTCTAGAAAGCTCATTTCATCCAATTCTGTATCTTTTGTTAATATTTTGTTATTAAAAATAGCAATATAAATTGCAATGCAATAGTAATAGTTATTGGGAAAATATTAAGTGCTTTCCTTTTCATCTGTTGAGAAATTTATTAGCATTGGTACAGTAAAGGTTTGTTTCTTAAATAAAAAGATGAATTTACCTTCAGAGAAAGAAAACAAAGGGAAAAGAGGAAAGAATTGGATTTACCCATTCTTAGTGTAAATTATTTTTCTTTTTATATTTTGTGCATTATTCCAGGCAGCTTCAGCTGCATAAGCTTGTTATGTGGGAGCAGTAGTTTTCTGACTACTTTGTTAAGAACGTGTTTGTAATCTCACAGTGTATGGTTATTCAGTTAAGATTAATCTTCTCTCAGAATTATAATGTGAACACAATTTAGCCACACCTGAACTGTCATCGCTTTGTCAGCAAAAATGTATGTAAATTTCTAGAACCTTGTGGATGACTAATGGATTACACTATAACAGAAAGAAGTTGAGATTTTTATTTTCCTCTAGAGACACAACAAAATATCTGTACTGATGCCAAATCTATGCCCTAAAGTATTTATTTTTACTGAAAAATGTTGTTAGACTACCTTTAGGGACATCTAGAACTGAAAACAGATTGTAACCCTAAAGTTCCTTACACCACATTTTCTAAAGCTACCTGGAAATTCATGCTCAGTATTTCCGATAAAATTTTCTTTATGCATAATGAGAATGTGAGTGTTCTTCCGGAGGGGAAATGAAATTAAAGATGATCTAGATAACCTAAATTTTGTTCTTTTTAATAACAGTATACCCATTGCCTAACAAAGTATCTCTATTTTAGTGACCACTGTCAATGATTTGAGTTTCTTGATGACTTTTGTGTCAGAGTCTAAAAATAGTTAGCCTCTGACAAGAAAACAGATGCTAGAACAGCTGGACTGGATGATTCATTTCCAAGAAGGTTTCTTCATTTACATGTCTGATACCTTGGTATTAACTGAACTTTTTCTCTCCACATGATTGATGATGTGCCCATGTGACTTGAGTGAGTTTCATGTAGCTTCATGTAGCATGGTGGTTTTAAAGCTGATCAAAAGACTGGGAGAGAAGTTGCAAGTCTCAATCTAGCTCCTAGAATCTTAAAACAATATTTATGTCCTACTAGTAGACTAATAGAGTTAAGCCTACCCTTGAGACCAACCAAGAGTTTGAAGAGTAACAAAACCCACAATCATATTGTAGGAGTAGCAGAAACACGTATGTTTTTACCATATTGTTGCCTTGAATTTTAAGAGATTATGTTTATCAGACCCTTATTTAAGAAGATGCTTAGGTATTTGGATTTGGCTATTGTATTCCTTGGACACTTATAAACATTTTGATCTAGTTTGAGGATATCTGAAGCTTAAAAAATACACTGGATAAAATTTGGAATCTGGTGAAAATGATTTCTAGATGTTTTATTATTACTAAATTATTAATGTTTGTTATTGAATTTTGAAATCCACAATGTTTTGTGTGAACATGTATTCCAATTAACACCAAAGTATCCCTCCAATACTACCATGCTATATTAATTTTTTAAATTTCCTCAGACATAAACTGAGACATTCAACAAACTATTGTCTTTTTCTAATTCTTTTTTCCTATAATGAGGTTTTTTAAAAGTGTTTATCATTCTGATTACAGATCTCTCATTAAGGCTCAGAACTTGGTATTTACAGTGCTCATAACAATTTCTTTACTACTGAGGAATACAAAGAACTTACAAAATGATTTCTCATTTAAAGAAATGGTTTCAAATAAATAAAACCACTACAAATTACCTAACACTGTACTTGTTTAAATGCAGAAGATCTAGTGACCAATTTTGTTTTACTTCTGCTAAATGATATGGTTACTTCAACATCTTGTGGAAACATCCTTTTGAGATGAAAAATGGGTACTTCTCCATCTTTCTGTCAAAAAAGGTGTGTTCAGACTAAATAGTTTGACATGATACCTTAGATATAAACTATAAATATAAATTAGATAATTATAATAATTTTACAAGGTGGTAATATTAGTGGGATGTTGTTATGTGTTGAAATATTTGTTCATACAAAGCAAATATATTGTAGATGTTGCAAACCACCCATACAAGGCTATACTTTGTGAAACTGAGTAGGATTTATCCCTTAAAAAGGCCTGTTTCCTTGTTTTGAGCTAGGTTGAGAGAAACTTACAACTTTTCTATGGAAGTGTACACAATGGCAGAAAAGAACAAAGGGTCTTCCCACCGTCATCATAAACAAAATTCATTCCAGTTTTATTTGGGATATTTCTGAAAATTTTGTTTTCTCTGCTTAGTATATAAGTTTTCTTTTTAAAAAATCTGTTCACTAGATGTCTCAATGTAAAATAATAATAAAAGATCATGAATGTCTTTATTCAACCCCTGGAAAACCAGTGCACACCGCTGACATATTTGCATCTTAATAGTGTAAGTTAAACTAATTGGGTAGAAAAATGTCAGTAAATCTATAGTTTTTCATTTCCTTTAACAAAATATAATGATTTAAAAAATAATATAGGAAAGTAGGAAAAACAATGGTCTTATATTTCAGCAACATTTACAAATCATCTACTACCCCCAAAGTCCAATATATTTATTATATCTCCTCTTTTGTTTTAAACAGACTTAACATGAGTACTCACGTTGTTAGGCAGCATCTAAAAGCTACATTTTAGAATAGCAGAACAGACCTTTGGAACATAACTTTTTCTCTCCTCTTTTTAAATTAGAATAAAATTCTACCAATCCAAGTTTGGTTGGTAAAATCAAAACAAGAGTTAATAATTTCACAAGGAAGTAAAAATATTGTGTATAATTTATAGGCACCACCATGGTCACAAATTACAAAAGATCATATAGTTTCGAAAACTCACTTAGCTATTCCACTCTTTGTTATTAATTGAAAAACTTCAGATTACTTTGGTCAAACTGAAGATAGACAAAAGCTCACAAATGTTAAGTAACATATTTTAGATTAAAGGCCACATTTTGGAAAAAAACAAAGTAGGCCTGCCTCTAAGCTTTATTCTTATTGTTCTTTCAAATCATATGCATTGAAGGAAGGGAACACATCCACACACACAAGCACACAAGCTTGACGTTTTATGCTCTTGTTTGAGACTGTGAAAAGAGACTAGTACTCATAAATCAACTTGTTACTTTTCCCGACATCATATGATTCATAAATATTCAGGATCATGTCCTTAAAATGGGTTTTAAATAACACTGGATTGTGTTGTTGGAAATAATATTATCAAATCATTTTAAAGGCTGCACCAAGCTTTGTCTTTTATGAAGTGCTTAGTCTCCAGAAGTTAATGGTCTCCAAATAAATTTATTTGGCTGACACATGTATGGAAAGTTTTCTGTACCAATCACCGATGCAAGACAACCATGAATCTATCAATCACAGAGTTAAAAAGCTCTGTCGTATAGCACACTTAATACCCAGTGTAACAAATTAGTATTACCATTCCTCCATGCAATACAAACTCATTTCCTTAAACTGCTATTGTACTGAATGCCAGGGTTATAAATGAGCAGAACACAAATTGATTTGCATGTAATAACAGTGGCAATAAACCTTTCCTGGTTCATGCAATTTTCCCCATCTGTTAACAGAGAACAAGTTTAGGATCTATTATTATTCCCAGAAGGAGACTTACCCAGCTGGACATCTATCACACTTGGCTGATTTTCCATGGGGAACAATGGCTTGGGAGGCTTGTCTGTGAGCAAAGCTAAAAGAGAATATGAAAGAAAGTAATGGAAAAATTGAGATAAATTATAGGGTAAAGATGATTCCATCGTGTATGATATTTAATGTTTATAGACTTGATGGTGTGTAAACATTTATTAGATAGTGTTTGTACTTGGGCTGTTACTCTAGCCATACAATATCCATTTTCCAGTAAATTTAGAGCTCCATTGAGTCACTTAAAATAGGATATCCGCACAGCTATATATTCCAACGCATTCAAACAAATGGACTGCTTATTTTGGATGTATATTCATAAGCTTGTATGTGTCAAGAAATATAGATTGAAAAAATAAAATCATAGAAACATTGAAATTCACGTATTTGCTTTGTAGCACTAAATAGTCAAAACGAATTGCAGTAGATTTCCCGTAGCATAAACTTTGCAAGAGTCCAAGTCATCCCCACTTTTGCCCTAATCTTCAGTAACGCAAGCAAGACTGATAGCTCTTTAGGGACTGGTTTTAAAAAGTCAGCCTCTTTGGCTCTCTGTGAGTTCAAGGCCAACCTGGTCTACAGAGCGAGTTCCAGGACAGGCAACAAAACTACAGAGAAGGAATTTTTTAAGTACGGAATTTGATGTCAATGTGAAACTTAAAGGATAAAATAAAGGACCTTAGTGATGAGACTTATCAAGAATGATGTATGTACAAAGGAACCACCTGATGAGAAGGAATTGAATGGGTGATGTGAAGAACCAATTGTTCATGGAATAAACAATACAAATTGGAAATGACACTACATAGATAGGGAAGGACTCAATCCTGAAGAGTTTTAAGAAATATACCAATGGATTGGGGCATGATACGGTAGGCTATAACGTCATTAGTGATTCTTAGAGTAAAACAATTACTCAAATGTCAACTGAATCTAATGATGATGAACATGGCATGGATGATGTGCTGGAGTGCAAGAAAAGTGAGTGAGAAAATGGTACTAAAGGCGAGGCAGGGTAAAGCAATGAGTAAGACCATGAGTCTGGAAAAACGGGAAAAAAAGAAACAAATAGTAAGGATAATCAGAAGAAAACAGCAGAGGAATATGTCATATATACTGTTGTCAGAAAGACAGTCTTATCCTATTATTCATATATTGATTTCATTTAAATTACTACTGTTTTCATATTTTGCTTAAACTATATAACTTGATCTTGCCTCTTTAAAATGTTTTATAAGTCCTTTTAATACACAAGAGGCTTAGCTATGGGGTAGGTTACAAAATATAATAATTATCCCATGCTTTTTCAGTCCCAGTCCAGCTGGCCTTGGTGAGCTCCCAATAGATCAGCCCCACTGTCTCCGTGGGTGGGTGCACCCCTTGTGGTCCTGACTTCTTTGCTCATGTTCTCCCTCCTTCTGCTCCTCATTGGGACCTTGGGAGCTTAGTCCAGTGCTCCAGTGTGGGTCTCTGTCTCTATCTCCATCCATCGCCAAATGAAGGTTGTATGGTGATATGCAAGATATTCATCAGTATGGCTATAGGTAGGATCATTTCAGGTTCCCTAAACTCAGCTGCCCAGAGAACTAACTTGAGACCTTGCCTTGGGCATCTGGGAGCCCCTCTAGGTCCAAGTCTCTTGCCAACCCTAAGATGGCTCTCTTAATTAAGATACGTGCTTCCCTGCTCCCCATCCAACCTTCTTTTATCCCAATCATCCCGTTTCCCCAAGTTCTCCCCATCCTACCCTTCTCACTTTTCTCTCTCCATCTTCCCTTACCCCCCTCCCACCCCACCCCCAAGATCCCGATTTTTTGCCCTGCAATCTTGTCTACTTCCCATACCCAGGAGGATAGCTATATGTTTTTATTTGGGTTCACCTTCTTATTTAGCTTCTTTAGGATAACAAATTATAGACTCACTGACCTTTATTTATGGCTAGAACCCAATTATAAGTGAGTACATCCCCTGTTCATCTTTTTGGGTCTGGGTTACCTCACTCAGGATAGTATTTTCTATTTCCATCCATTTGCATGCAAAATTCGAGAAGTCATTGTTTTTTACCACTGAGTAGTACTCTAATGTGTATATATTCCACACTTTCTGAAAAAGCATGGGATAAAACCGGACTCTCTGAATATGGCAGACAATGAGGGCTGGTGAGAATCCAAAGACAATGGCACTGGGTTTTGATCCTACTTCATGTTTTGGCTTTGTGGGAGCCTAGCCAGTTTGGATGTTCACCTTCCTAGACCAGGATGGAGGGGGGAGGACTTTGGACTTTCCACAGGGCAGGGAACCCTGACTGCTCTTCAGACTGGAGAGGGAGGGGGAGAGGAGTGGGGGGAGGGGGAGAAGAGTAGGAGGCTGGGAAGAGGCGGAAATTTTTTTTCAATAAAAAAATTAAAAAATTAAAAAATATATAATAATTAAATCATAATTAATTAAGCATTTGGGAAATCTCTGCTAATGTGAAAAGGGTCTATCTCAGCATTGAGCATTGATTACAGGTGCACTATCTCAGTGTTAGGTGTTGATTACAAGATATGTACAGTTATAGAAATAAACGATCATGATGAGAGTCTCAAAAATACTTCTTGATAACCAAAAATACATCATAAATATATGTAGAAAAGATATTTATATAACATAAGCTCCATTTTCCTTAACTGCCCATGATAGAAAAAGTGCTAAATGAATTGTTTTCATTTTTCAACAAATCTTCATTGGTAGCCAACAAAATATTCTTACAGAATTTAACATTTTTAATTCAAGCAGAATTGTAAATAATGTATACAGACCTAAATATCTAATATACAATCTTTACAATGTATAATAAATAATCATAATGTATTATACTTTTAGTTGATTTTAATAATACGATCTTTAATTGTTATTTAGAATATAAGAAATAAAAGCTTAAACATCTGAATTCAAACTCCAATCACATATGATGCTCAGATTGGCTGTCATAGTTCACTACTGTCAGTAACAACCAAATATTTGAAACAACTTAAATTTCCATCGATAAAACTTTGGCTAAATAAAATTGTGGTAATTTTATATATTTATATCATATATTATAATACATTAGATTGAAAGAATGAGATACAGTAGATTAAAAGAATGAGATACATTTGTAAATCTGATATAAACATATCTCTACAACACATTGCAATGAAGCAAGGTCATAAATACTGTATATAGCATGGTACTACTGAATATATAACTGCAAAAGTTTTAAATGCATAAAATTTAGATAAATATGGAATATTCTGTCATAAGGTGTCACTAAGGTGAGGAACTGGTTAGCTAAGTAATAGTGGGAAACAACGGCAATAAAGAACGGTAGCCTATACAAAAATTCAAGTAACATTATGCAGATTGAGCAGGTATATATTTAGCACTATACATAAACAAATTTTATATATATATAACACAATTTAATGAAAAAGAGGCCATGAATTTTCACTGCCTAGAGGATTAGCCTTCAGCAGTGCAGGGCTCAAAGGTAATCCATGCATGAGCATACTAAAACGTTATATCTCGGGGGTAAGGGAAAAGATATACACTCTCTTGATGGTTTCCTTCTAATCTTTTCTTTATTCTTCTTTTACCTTCTCTTTATGCTTTATTTTCCTGGTAATTTCCTTCCCTCATTCTTCATGTTTTTCTTCTAACTCTATCTTTATTCTTGATGTTTTCCTTCTAACCCCTTCTAACACTATCTTTATTCTTTTCCTTACAGATTATATATTCCAGCAAAATCTTTAGGGAAATATAAAAATTACAATATGGTTACATTCTATTTTTCAAGTGAATGATTACAATGAGTACAAGTAAAAAACATGTTTTCCATATTTTTACATGATTAAACATTTTACATATTACAGGTAAAAAACAAATTATTCCAAGAACTCACGTACATTCATACCCTAGCAACTCGTTATAGATTAACAGTGTAGGCAAGCAAGGTATTCTTTTACTGGCAGGCTGCATTTTTGTAACTACAAAGAAAGGACTAATCACTTTATTACTTATCTTGAAAGGTAATCTTATAAGGAGTCTTAAAGGAATTACAAACCTAAACTTTTATTCATGAAAAGCAATCAGCTCTACTTTACATGTTTAGGGTGCATACCTCTCAGGAGATTGAAGAGAAATGGATATTATAGAGAATTTAACACATCTTCAGCCACCAACCAATCCTAGCAAGAAAGGCACATCAGCTAATTGAACTGTGATCCCTGGGCCATTCCAGTGGTTTCATGACAGGCAATGAGTCAGCTGAGCAATGATAGCTTTAGAACTTCTCACACATATACAACTTTAACCCCAAAACTCAAGAGAGGGAGAAAATAAAATTGCATCTTCTGTCCAACAATTCACTGTAGGATATTTAAATGTGGACCCTCATTTCATGCTAGAAGCATGCGTAGGCCTTGGAATTACCAGAAAGTCCTGAGTATGTTTCATGATAAACTGGCAACTGAGCCATTCATCTGGATCTTGACCACCAGCTCAAAGCCAAACCTTATGGCAACCCCATGTAATGATAGCAATAAGATTAGCAAGAATACATGTTACCATGGGTAGGACAGCTCATTTGTCTGCCCCACAACCCTCTTTTAAAAATTTCATATCAAACTCACAATTATGGCTTGGGAAAATAAGATCTGTTGAAATCAATAATCCTGAACAACAGAGTATACCGTTTATAATTTTATCAGAAAACCAATCCTAGACATGAGAGGGAGTAATTTGGGTATAACTAAATGTTACTTTGTGATTGGAAGAATGGAAACAAGGGATTCCGTTTGATACACATGTTTCAGACTGATTTCCCTCCGCTGCCCTTCCATCTGTGGCTGCTTATCTGCTTTGTTTAATTACCCTTAAATATAATTGCTCTACAGAGCATACCAACACACTGGGCTTAATGTGCTACTTAAGCTACTAAAGCTACTGTCTGCATCTTCCTTAAGTGAGGTTTTATGTGTTCAACCCTAACACTCTTGAGGCGCATGCTCAAATGAACCCGTTTCT